GATAATGCTACTACTGGTTCTTTTCTCGAACTCCAAGCAATTGTTGCACCACCTAGCATAAACACATATCCTGCTGTTGACTTTCGATCTTCAACATCACTACACCAACTCGAATTAGTGTATCCCATTAACTTGCATTCTTTTCCTTTATCAACTGCAGGAAACAAAATGCCATAATCGAAAGTTCCTTTAAGATACCTTAGTATCCTCTTCACAGCTGCTAGATGTGATACCTTTGGCTTCTGCATGAATCTACTTACCATACCTACATTGTATGCTAAGTCAGGCCTTGTATGACAAAGGTATCTCAATGATCCAATAAGTCTTCTGTATTGGGTTGGATCAACATCATCTTCATCTGCATCTTTCGACAGTTGCAGTCTTGGTTCTGCAGGTGTCGAAGTTGCGTTGCATTCTTCCATCTCAAACCTTTTGAGAATTTCTCCTGCATATCTTCTTTGATGCATCATCAAACCTCTACTGATCTTGTAGAATTCGATACCAAGGGAATATGAAATCTCACCCAAATCAGACATTTCGAATTCCTTGCTAAGATCAACTTTGAAGTCTTCGATCTCACTTTTACAGCTACCTGTTATCAACAAATCATCTACATAGAGACATAGTATAAGCAATTTACTCTTGCTTCTTCTTACATATACTCCATGTTCAGTTATGCACTTCATAAATTCCTTCTCCCTTAGAAAACTATCAATTTTCTTATTCCAAGCCCTTGGAGCTTGTTTCAAACCATACAGGGCTTTATGTAGCCTGTACACCTTTCTTTCTTCGTCATGTTTCACAAACCCAACTGGTTGTTTAACATAGACTTCTTCATCTAAGGGTCCATTTAAGAATGCACACTTCACGTCCATCTGACATATGTGCCAACTGTTGATTTCTGCTAGACCAACAACCAGCCTGATTGTTTCGATCCTAGCAACAGGTGCAAAAACTTGGTCGAAGTCTATTCCTTCTTTCTGTAGAAATCCTTTCGCCACAAGTCTTGCTTTGTGTCGAGTTACTTCACCTTTCGAATTCGTCTTCACTTTGTATACCCACTTGACATCAATTGCCTTCTTGCCTTGAGGCAATTCGACAAGTGACCAAGTGTTGTTGTCTTCGATAGACTTTACTTCTTCGTTCATTGCTTTCACCCACTTCGAATCCTTTAATGCTTCAGCTGCATTAACAGGTTCGACATCTACATAGAAAGCATAATGTACCAGCTCACCTTCATCATTTATCACATCATCTGATGTAATCACACAATCTTGCAATCTTGCAGGCATGCGTCTTGTTCTTTGAGGTCTGCTTGTACTGGGTATATCTGCTGGCTCCTCTTATCGAACTTCTCTTTCGACTTGAGTTTCTGGCTCTTCGAATAAGATTCCCACTGAATCTTTCTTGACATTTGCAGTCCAATCCCATTTTTTGAACTCATTTATGATCACGTCCCTGCTGATCACAATCTTCTTGTTCTCTGGATTGAACAACTTGTAGCCTCCTGTCGAATGATATCCTACTAGGATCATTTGACTTGACTTGTCATCAAGTTTTCTTCTCAACTGATCTGGCACATGTCTATGTGCAATAGATCCAAATACCTTCAGATGACTCAAGCTAGGCTTCACACCAGACCAACATTCTTCTGGAGTAATTCCTTCTAGCTTCTTTGTAGGACATCTGTTCAAAATATAAGTTGCAGTCGAAACAGCTTCACCCCAGAACTCTTTAGGTAAATTCTTGCCTTTCAACATACTTCTCACCATATTCATGATGGTTCGATTTTTCCTTTCTGCAATTCCATTTTGCTGTGGAGTATAGGGTGGCACCACCTCATGCACAATCCCTTCCTTTTCACATAATCTGTCGAAGTCTTTCGACACATATTCTCCACCACCATCAGTTCTCAAAACTTTGAGCTTTCGACCACTTTGTCTTTCGACCATGGACTTAAACCTGGTGAGTACTTTGAACACTTCACTTTTCTTCTTGATCAGGTAAGTCCATAGCTTTCGACTGAAATCATCTATGAATGTAACAAAGTATTTGTTACCTCCCATCGAATCCACCTAGATTGGTCCACATACATAAGAGTATATGATTTCGAGACTAGCCTTCGATCTGCTTCCTGCATCCTTGCTGAAGCTATTCTTGTGTTGCTTCGCCTGCACACATTCTTCACATACTTCGTTTGGAATATCAATTTCAGGCAATCCTGAAACCATATTTCTTCTCTTCAAATCTCTGATGTCTCTGAAGTTGAGATGACCAAGTCTATAATGCCATATCCATTCATCTCTGCTAGCTGCAGTCAAAAGGCACTTGTGTTCCATCATGTTTAGTTCAATCTTGAAGGTTCGATTCTGAGACATAGGAGACTTCAAGATTAATCTCCCATTTGCATCAACGACTCTCATCAACTTATCTTCGATTGACACTTTATAGTTCTTTTCGACCAACTGCCCTATACTGAGCAAATTGCTCTTCATGCCTGGTATGTACAATACATTTGAAATTACTGATTTCTTGCCATCTTTCCTCATGATCATAACATCACCAATACCTTCAGCTGCTAGGGTGTTGTCATTTGCAAATTTTACCAAATTTTTCATTGAGGGTTTTATATTGACGAACCAGTCTTTCCTTCCAGACATATGTGATGAACATCCTGAATCGAAGTACCATTGGTCCTTGAATCTGTCTTCATCTCTTGTTGTGACCATCAACATCATCTCTTCTTCTTCATCATGTTTTGCAAGCCTTGCATCAGTTTCTTGATTCTTTCATTTTTCTGGACAATCACTCGAATAGTGACCATACTTCTGACAATTGTAACATTAAATGTGACTCTTATCAGGTTTTCGACCACCACCTCTTCCTCTGTTTGCAGCACCACCTCTTTGGTTGCCTTGGTGTGGTCTTCTTTGATTCGACACGTCTCCTTCAATTTGGTTTCCTCTACCATTCGATTTGTTGTAGCCACCTCTACTTCTGTCGAAATACTTTCCTTTGCCTTTGGTCTCTTTTGCTGAATGTGCCTGCAAAGCCACATCACTCTTTGATTTTCCTGCAGCTCTTTCGTTCATTCTTTGTTCATGAGATTCGAGCGTCCCTTGAAGCTCTTCCTTTGTCAATTTCGACAAGTCTTTCCCCTCTTCGATCGCCACCACTATGTGGTCGAACTTAGGAGCTAAAGATCTCAAGATCTTCGAAACAACAACTCTTGTTGTTAATGTTTCTCCACATGTCTTGATTTGATTCACTAGTTTTGTAACTCTAGTGAAGAAATCAGATATGTTTTCACTGTCTTCCATCTGAAGCAGTTCATAGGTCCTTTTGTGAGTTTGTAACCTCACTTCTTTCACCTTCTCAGCGCCTCCAAAAGACTTCTCAAGGATCTCCCAAGCTTCTTTTACAGATTCTGAATCACTGATCTTCTCGAAATTGTCTGGACTGACACATTGATGAATTATAAACAATGCTTTATAACTCTGTTTCTTAGATTCTGTATATTTCTTCTTTTCTTCTTCTGAAGCGTTTTCGCCAAGCGCTTCGACTCCATCTTTTACAAGGTCCCAAAGGCCTTGACACCTTAATAGGACTTTCATCTGCTTGCACCAATTCTCATAGTTGTCAACTTTCAGAATTGGCAGCGTTGTTGGATAGTTTGCATTCCCATAACTTGTCATCGTGAATTCTTCAATCGTTCTTGATTGATACTTCCCTTGAATCGTAACACAAGCTCTGATACCAGATGTTGGAAATCCACCAATATTCTATGATGAATTTCGACCACCACTGATGATTAGTTATGACAAACAAATAAAAGAACAATGGAGATATTTCTGTAGAATTTCTATTCTGCCCACAAACTGTGGAATCTTTATTAATTCACTTTGCAACTGCAAAATACTGTGAATGAGTTGATTACAAAATAGGGTTACTCTCTCTATTTATAGATTTAGGTTAGCTTGCTCCCTAAGCTAAACCCAAGCCCAAAATATCTCTTTACTAAATCAAATATAATCTAGATTTAAATTCAAATCTATTTAAATCTAAACAAATCAAATCTTCTTTTGACACATATGAATTACAATTTAACAAAATTGAAAATTCCATTTAAAAAATCACTTATAATTATTCTAAATAGATTGAAAATTCTAAATGTAAATAGACTGAAAATTCATATAATTTTTTGCTACTAATTTTTATTTTTATTTTTTCAACATAATTTCATATTAAATACTTTTAGTAAATGGAGAGAGAATTTATATCGTACGTTGCCATATATTATTGATATTATTTTATATCGTATGTTGCAATTATATTATATATTTATAGTATGTTGTCATCATATAGTTTGGAGAGATAATTATTTATCGACCAAATCTTTAATAATTTTTTCAAAAGACTAGGAAATTCATTTACTTAAAATCTGCAATATGAAATTACAAGTGTTTTTTTATAAAATTTTCTATCTAATTAGAATAATTATAAGTGTTTTTTATAAAAAAATTATTCTATTTAGAGTAATAATTACAAGTGTTTTTTTATATATTATATTTGTAATTTACATTATTTTATTTTATTTGTGCAATCATTTATTACATTGTAATTCGCTTAATCAACAACAAAATATAATTAAAAAGTTTTAACTTAAAAAAAAATTCAGAATAAACCTCAATTTAAAACCTTCCCCTGTTTCGTGTTCCTTCTCTTTCATCTTTCCGAAGACCCCTACCCACCAAAACTCCGTCGCAGCGGCAACCCATCCCACGGTAGAACCTTGCGAAGACACCGTTCACATATCTCTCCTCGGCGCCACTATTCACTCTCTTGTCATTGCATTTTTACACCCTCAGCTTGTGTTTGTTTTCATCATTGAAGGTAAGAGCTTCTTCATCTTCTCTGATTCAGTTTGTTTAGGTTATTCATGCTAATTCCATCTCTAATTTTCTTATACACGTTATGTTATGATATTGCAGGCTCAGAATATGGATGGTTTCCGTGTAGTGACTTGTCAATCCTGCAACTTTGTTGGAGAACCTTTCGAATCGGATGGCTTCTTCTTCTGCAGTAGCTGCGGAGAGAAAAATCATGATGCTTTTGATAATGGTGCCGAAGAGGAAGAAGCCTTCGGTACCGCCGGTGGTATCTACCTGCCCAGTCACCAACGCCGGGCATCTGCTCATTCCGAAGCAATTGATGTTCCCCCCATCTCACAATATGATCCATTATCCCAATCCAATTTACTTTCCAGCCTTGGGTTAATTGAAGTCAAACAAGAGAATGTTGACCTATCTCACTCCCATTTTAGTTCCTCAACTCCTGCTGATTTTGGAGGCTCCAATGTTCCTAGCTCTGAGGATTACCACAATGAGATAAGGCTGCGTTATGTGTTTGGGTTGCAAATTATGATTGAGCTTCAATGTGAAGCTCTGGTGAAAGAGTTTAAGGTTACCCCTTTGATATGTAGCTTGGTTGGACCAATTTGGTTGAGATTTGTCGCCAAGACTGGTGTTTTCGACGAAGACTGGGCTAATAAAGTACTTCATGACTCTGAGATGCAGAAAGAAGGTAACGATATGAAGTTTAGTTTTTCCGTTTATATTTCTGAATTTACTTGTATCACTATTCGTTTTTATGTGAATAAATCATTTTCTCAATATAAGTTTCAACTTTTAATGCATATTGAGCATGATTTCCCGATTATTTATTTTGTTTATTTGCTTGCAACATATGTAGGGATATGGTCTTGTTCATGTGAGGTTTTCATTGCATTGTTTCTATTGAATTTTCAAGAAATCTGATATTTAACTGAAAGTTTAACTCTCACTAGCATCTTTCATCTGATTAGGTGCATCTTACCTTGGCATTTATTAAGTAAGCTTGGATTTGTGCCCTTAGTTATTGAATTTAGGGTAAGAACAATAAGATGAGAGGAGGAACTTGATAATTTTTCATGTTAATCAAATGTCTAATGTAGTTTCTTTACGCACCCAGAAGATGTTTGATTTATTTTCAAGTGTATATTATAATTTGTTAAATTTCTTGCTTTCTTGTTCTCAGGAGATCCAGAAGATTATAATTCACGCGGTAAATACAGATCAGAACCTCACAATATGTATGGTCAGCGAGCTGTGTTTCTATGGTTTAGGTCTTTAAAGAATAGGATTCCACTAGTTAGCACCATTGTTGTTTCATATTTGGCATGTCATATTGCCAGGGAAGCCATCATGCCTTCAGACATAATTAAGTGGGCACGTGAAGGGAAGCTTCCGTATTTATCTGCTTTTGTTAAAATTGAAGAGCGTTTTAAAAGTCCATCAATTGCATGTCCTATCAGTTCAAGTTATATGTTCAGGCCTAAACGAGCTCTTTCGGTACATAAACTCGAGTCATATGCCTCATCAATTGCTCAGTTTATAGGCTTGGAGTTACCTCCTGTTAACTTTTATGCATTAGCTTATCGTTATCTTGAAAAGTTATCTCTTCCTGTTGAAAAGATTCTTCCGTATGCATGTCGCATTTATGAATGGTCGATGCCTCCAGATTTGTGGTTATCGTTATCCAAGGATTATTTTAGACTACCTACTCATGTTTGTGTTGTCTCGGTTCTGGTAGTAGCAATAAGGATTTTGTATAACATTAATGGTTATGGAGAATGGGAGAAAAGTTTATCTCATAATGGTAGTGCCAAATATTCAGCTAAAAATCCAGCAAAACATCGAAAACACGATTTGGATTGTGCTGAGCTTCTCCAACACCTTCACGCAATATATAATGAGATTGCAGACACCAGTGGTAAAGTTTTGTTTACTTGCTGTATTATCTTGTTGAACCTATGTTACGTGAACTTATATCCTCTTTCTTCCTATTTCCGACAAGTGGCAATATTCAACTGACTATAGAACATAACATCCTTGTTTTTTTTTGACAGATTATTCTAAGGACTTACCTGCATATCTCAAATACTGTAAGGATGTTGTGTTTGCTGGAGTAGAGCCATCCTATGAAGAAAAAAATGTGATTGAAAACCTATGGGAACACTATCAGAATGAAGAGGTAATTGAAGACTTGAATGAATTATAACATAGGCATGCATAGACATTTATAGTTATAATGTCTTGTAATTTCTTGGAATTCTCTCTAGTCTTTCTTGGGGTGTGTCAATAAAGCAGTTGGATTGCCTTGCTGATCTAGATTTTAATTTCTTTCCCTGTGAAGTTTGAAAAAGTAAATTGGTTGCATCACCATTTCCCGAACAATGCTAAACTTCAAGAAAAATGTAACACAGAGAATGAAATATTGTCTATGGGCTACTTTACTTTCCTTAAAATATTGAATAAAGGAAGGAATTTTCTTTCTGCAAAGATGAGAGGGATTCAAATATTGAATAACTTTTGCTTTGACGACGTTTATTAGGAAAACTTACTGCACATGTTACTTTTTTTTCCTTCCCTGCTTATATAGTATTGGGAAAAATCCATGTTCCACTAGAATAAAGACAAGGCCTGAAATGAGTCTAAAAAGGGTGGCACCCTTCTGTCTTACAAGTTGGTTCTGTAAGGATTAGTAAACATAATATAAAATCTTATGTGGTTTCAAAGTCTATCAAAAATTTGTTGAACCACCTGCTATGAATTCCCAACTATTGAGTCACTCTGATCATGATCTAGATGTTAAGTTTTAGGCTTGAAGGGAGTGTTAAGAAGAGTCTCACATTGGATGAGATCTGGTCTAGACATGTGTATATAAATGCGGATAATCTTCCCCTTATAAGTTGATTTTGTAGGATTTAGTTGCATTCAAACCGTGTAGGTTGAACTTTTTCTTTCCATCATCTTTGAAAATTATTATGTTCAGCATTTTTAAATTTTTTACTCTACCTTATGTCTAGTTTATGTTTCTTTTTTTGTTGGCCAACTACATTATTAAAGTTGCTTGCCAAAATAAATTTACACTGTTGATATAGATATTTTTCTTTCAGAATACTAAATCATCACAACCTGGAGAGCAAGACAATTCTTTTAATAGCACGGGGTCGAGAAATGAAGGATGTGTCAAAGAGACATCTAAAAATGAAAAGGATAGAGAATGTTTCAACGAACCCTCTCATGACAATGGCGGCTGCGTTGCAGATGACTTGCCTGGAAGTTTAAGTTATGATAATTCCTCCAAGAGTTTGCCAGACAGAGAAGCCATTATTAGACAGTTGAAATTAGACATGGAGGAAAACCGATTTTGTTACGTAACACCCAATGTCAAGCCGACAAAACTTGATTATGTTCACTATGTTCGAAAGAAGGATAAAGGTGCCCTGTCTTATGTTGCTCATGCTGATTATTACATTTTGCTTAGGGCTTTTGCTAGAGTTGCATATGATAATGACATTCGGATTTTGCATATTGGTGTTTTGAGCCTTGAGAGAAGACTTGTTTGGCTAGAGAAAAAGATTGGTCAATGCTTGCATTTGAAACCTCCTAATAGTTCTTGTCAATATTGTACTCTTAGGCCAACTGAAAATGGATCAGATGATGGGTCTGAACACAAAACTTGAACATTTGAAAATAAATGTTTGTGCTTTGATATTTCATTGTCTTTTAATAGGTACAATATAGTATATACATATTTTATGTTTTGGTGCTTATTTTTTTGGTAAATTACTATTCTCACATGTATAGAATAGAGGCTAATCTCTAGATGAATTGATTTTCATTTATATATTAATTCTCTCATAATAAATAGTTTTACACACCGGTTAGAGGTTGAATTCCCAACAAAAGAAAAGTTCAAGTATCTGCCATGTCTACTTGTGCGGCACAATATTTAATTTTTGGATACAATTTCCCCCCTCTTTATTGTAAGATAAATATTTAGTATGTATATTAAGTGTAATTTAGGGTCCGTTTATTTTAATTTAACTTTGAAAAGTAATTTTTTGTATTTACAAAAATGATTTTTATAAAAGTGTATTTTATAATATTAAAAAATTTAAAATTATTTTTTATAAATATACATTATGGAAAATTATAACATAGATAAAATTATAATTTAAAATTTTTTTTTCAAAAATTGCTTTAATGAAAAATTATTTGAAATAGTTAAGTTTAAATGATTTTTTTTTAAATTTAGTATCTAAAAAAGTTATACGAAAATGATAGAAATATCTAAAATAATATTTTAAAAATAATTATTGAAATCAATTTATTATTTAAAGTTTTTTTCAAAAGATTTTTTATAAATTTCATGTAACAAAAATATTTAACACCATAAAAATATATATTTTTTAAAACAAATGAATCTTTATTGACATTGAACTAAACTAATTCAAACATAGTTTAAAATTCGACTCGACAACTAAATCGTTAAATTAAGTTCTTGAACTAAAAGAAGAAAAAAGCGTGAAGAGAGAGGGTTAGACAAGTTTTTTTTTTGAAAAAGTCAAACTATATTTATAAAGGCACAAATTGAAGTACAAAAAAATTTAGGCAACCTACATATTACATAATCAAATTGAGGTAAGCACATCTAACAAATTATGATATGTTGTACTAACCTCCACCACTAACAAATCAACATGTTTATAAGAAAATGATACAAGGTAAAACAATAATATAACCAAAACCAACAACTAAGACTGCTAAAAATCGATCGGGCAAACCACACTCAAGCACCCGGATTGTAACGTCCGTAATTTAATTAATTATTTAATTAAATTATTTTCGGATTATTTGTGAAATTGTGTTATGATGATAGTTGATGTGTTGTTGTTATTGGATTTATTTATTCTATTAAGTTGTGAAATAATATTATAATAATAATAATATTTGATGTGGACTTATTTTAAGGACTAAAAGTAGTAGAAAGGGGGTGTAGGAGTTTTAAGCCCATTAAGACATAATGAGAATTATAGGATTATTATATTAGTTATTTAGAATTAATATGGAAAAGAAGTAGCAGTAAGAAGAGAAAGAAAATAAGGGTTGAAAGAGAACGTGAAAGTTGCAGAAAAGAAGGAAAAAAGCCAGAACGGAATTCAACCGGAAAAGTTATAGAGCAACCTTCAATCCAAGGTAAGGGTGGGGGTTCTGACTCTATAATATGGTTTATGATGAGTAGTATGTGGGATTAGATGTGAAAAGTTGTTTTGTTTATGATTGAAATATATATATTGTTGTTTGATGAGGATCAATGATTTAAAGATGAAAAATGATGCCCTAATGTTGTATAATTGATGTAGAAACATAGGATTATTATAATTGATGATTACCTATGATTAGAGGATGTTTTTAGGGCCTAAGACATGGAAATCGCAGTGAAAACGCAGTGAAATCGCAGAATATTTTCATCACAGGTCAGTATGAGTCGACCTCAAAAGCCATGCATCGACACATGCAGGTTTTTGGACTCAGGATGAGTCGATACATAGGATTACGCGTCGACTCATGCAGGGTTTCAGCCCAGTACGCGTCGACTCAAAGAAGTATGCGTCGACTCATGTAGTCTGATTTTTGACAGATTCTTCCAAAGGTTGTGACTTGAGTTTCCGGACTCCGTTTGAGGTGCCGTTTGAAGTGTTGGATAGCTAACGCGAAGAACTACATTCTTAAGGATTAAAATGAAGGATAAGAAGAATAATTATAGTACCCCAAATTAGGATTAGAGTTAGCTTCCCGCGTTAACCGCTATGATGATTTTGTGAAGTATGATGAGGATAAGATGATTATAGATTATTGCTTGGTTCATATCAGTAAGATTAATGATGATAATGATGTAGTATTACAGAATAATAATATGTAGAGGTTTGGTAATTAGAGATAAGCCTTAGATGATTAATTAATTATAGGAATTATCATGTCGTAGGCCTATGGCCAACGTTGAGGGATTGTTGATCTGTCGTTGTATTGTTGTGATGGCTGAGTTGCTGTGGAATTATGTTGATGAATTATGTTGATGAATGATGTTGATGAATGATGTTGATGAATTGTGTTGATGAATTATGTTGATGAATTATGTTGAGATGCCTCTAATAATTGGCAGCTATTAAGATGTAGGCTTCTGGCCAACGATGAGGTTGTGTTGAGATGTTATTAAGTGTGTTGTTATTACTACATTCATGATTGTGTCGCATATATTGTATATCAAGATGGAGTTGATGCTCGTTAAGATGGCATGTATTAGCGAATATTAAGATGAAGGCTTATGTCTTGTTGATGCCTCTATTTATTGGCAATTATTTTGAGATGGGAGTTCTGCTCCAATGGTACCACATGCATTTGCATAGTATTGAGTCGCATTTTATAATTGCATAAAGAAGCTGCGTATTAATGCGGTAAACATGTATATTGTTGGTATTCTGTTATGATTATTGTTGTTTATGAGATGTGAAGTGGTGTTATTATATGAGTTGATCTAACATATTATTTATCATACATTTTATTATATGGTTAGATATCTCACCCCTTCTGTTTGAATGTTACCCTTACATTGGTAACGTGCAGGTAATCCAGAGTGAAGGCAGTATACCTTCGGTAGTTCGAGTCGGTGTCATTGCTCTGATACGTAATACTCGGGGGGATGAGCGCTTGTTGCTTTTAATTATTGATTATTTCATTTGTTGAACTTTAATTTGATTGTTGCTAAGTATGTGTTATTTTGAATTTGCTGTAATTGTTGGATAAATGTTATTATGATTCCACTGCGTAGTTGTTCAAGTTGTTGAATTAAGAGATTAAATTATTCTACTGTTGGTTCATCCGAAGTTTAAAGTGTTATGTATCCATGTTCAATGCAATGTGTTTTTAAGTTGAATTTGTGGCATCCTGATTCAGTTGTATGAATTTTAAAACTCTGATTTACATTCATAATTTACGGGTAGAATTGGGGTGTTACATAGTTGGTATCAGGGCAAAGGTTGGTCCGTCCGACCAAGTTGTCGAGTCGTAGTTGTCTAACAATCGAGTATTGTTAATTTGAGTTCTAACTGTTGTTTATGTTGTAGTGATAAGTTGAGATGGCTGGAAGGAATGATGTTGCACTTGCTACTGCTTTAGAAGCAATGGCGCATGCGATGGAGAATCAGCCGAATGCTGACGGGAATGCTGGATCTCGTAGTTTGGCGACTTTCCAGAGAGAGAATCCGCCTACCTTCAAGGGAAAGTATGATCCTGACGGAGCATTGGATTGGTTGAAAGAGATTGAGAGAATCTTCTGTGTGATGGACTGCACTCCAGCGTAGAAGGTTCGATATGGTACTCATATGATAGCAATCGAGGCTGATGTCTGGTGGCTAGAGACGTGTCAGAGGTTGGAAGTTGCAGGTGAAAATGTCACTTGGGTTGTGTTCCGTAGGAAATTTCTGAGGAAGTATTTTCCTAAAGACGTCCGTGGTAAGAAGGAGATTGAGTTCCTTGAGCTGCAGGAATGGAGTATGTCGGTTGTTGAGTATGCTGTAAAGTTTAATGAGTTGGCTAAGTTTTATCCGCACTACGGTGAGGCAGATGCTGAGTTTTCGAAGTGTATCAAGTTTGAGAGCGGGTTGCACCCAGAGATAAAGAAGGCAATTGGATACCAGAAGATCCGTGTCTTTGCTGATCTGATTGATAGTTGCAGAATTTATGAGGAGGAAAATATTGCTCATTACAAGATTATCAGTGAGAAGAGGGTAAGCACCAACATAATCATGGTAAGCCTTATGATACCCCAGTTGGTAAAGGTAAACAGAAAGCTGCTCAGGGTCAAAGGACTAGTGGGGGAGATGCTCCTGCTGGTGTGGTTTGTTTTAAATATGGAAAACCTGGGCATAAGAGTAATGTGTGTACTGCTGAGGTAAAGAGGTGTTTCTGTTGTGGTAAGACTGGACATGTTATATCTGAGTGCAAGCATAAGGAGGCGATATGTTTCAATTATAGTGAAGAAGGGCACATTGGTAGTCAGTGTAAAAAACCAAAGAGGGCACAAACAAGTGGTAAAGTGTTCGCTTTGGTTGAGGATCAGGCAGCTGCTGAGGACAGACTTATCAGAGGTACATGTTTTATTATTAGTACTCCTTTAATTACTATTATTGATACCAGTGCTACTCATTACTTTATTGCTGCTGATTGTGTTGAAAGATTGGGTCTTATGTTGTCTTCTATGAATGGAGAAATGGTCGTCGACACTCCATCCAAGGGGTCAGTGACTACTTCTTTTGTGTGTTTAAAGTGTCCCTTGTCGATCTTCGACAAAAACTTTGCTGTTGATTTGGTTTGTTTACCGTTGAGAGGGTTGTATGTGATTTTGGGTATGAACTGGTTAGAGCATAACTATGTTCATATTAACTGTTATGACAAGTCTGTGAGGTTTTCTACTCTTGGAGAAGAGGAAGATAGTTTGTTGTCTGCTGGGCAGTTGAGGAAGTTGATGCAAGAAGAAGCACAAATGTTCTTGTTAATGGCATCGCTATCTGTAGAGACTCAAGCTATAATTGAGGAATTGTAGGTGGTGTGTGAATTTCCTGAAGTTTTCCCTAATGAAATTCCTGATGTACCGCCGGAGAGGGAAGTTGAATTTGCAATT